AGATTCTCGAGACTACGAATATATTATAATTTTTTGAAGTAGGTATTTTCTCGAAATAAAATTAATTTTGCGCTTTTGTATCCACTAACACATCACTAATTCGTTTGTACACATTTATTTTATATAATAAAGTGCAAAAATAGCTTTTATTATACATTTAACTTATTGCTGAATTCTGATTATTTAAGAATAACAAATTAGTCACAAACTGTCAAATAATCAGTGTTACCAAACTAATATTAGCAAAAATATGTTCAACGTGAAAAAAATTTTATACACCCCGGTATTTGTCCGACCAGGGTTATTTTTTTTTATGCGAAGAGGTAGAAGAACATCTGATCATATTCGACTGTTTGTAGTATTGTTAAGTAAATAAATTTCAGCAATAAGTTAAATATTGAATTGGAACGCTGCTATGACAAACATGGTTTCTGAGCAACATGCTAGTACACTCGAGTGGGCCAAGAAAGTGCTGAGCGAGGGCGATAGCGTAGGACCGGAAGCTAACAGGACAGAACCGACTGTCAAGCGGCAGAGGGAGAAACCTTCCTTGGTAGCGAAATCTCTAAAGGTGCTGGGGCTATAGTACTTGAGGTGCTCGGTCGCAGTAGGGAAGACGGTGCCATCTCCCATGATGAATGGAAGACGGTAGCAGCGGCTATCTCGTCGATYTTCCTTAGGGTGGTCAAGGAAAGCCCTGGGTCACCGCCAAAATGTGTGAGTGCCGGTTGGCACCAAGGGCTGCACAAGCTCACAAGTTGTGCTGACGAGAGAACGGCCATCTTATTTAAGAAGGTAGTCTCTCAGGTAGAGGGAGGTTTGGAAGGGAGCCCGATTGGAGGCCGTGGCCAAAGCGAATCTTCCTTTTCGCCCTAGGGCTCGCGTTTGTCTGCCGGCCGAACCTTCCTCTGTGAGTGAGATTGAGTAAATCCTCAGATATTGCAATCCCTCACTTCCAACGCAGGACTGGAAAGTTTTAAGCCTAGAGAAAACCGATGAACCGTATCGGCAAGCGCTGATAATGTTAAACAGTGATTCCATCGGTCCTCTCAGCAAAACAAAGGGAGCCATTATATCTGGTTTTGATATGGTAGTACTGAAAGTGGCTGACTGGTACCGGGATCTCTGGATTGACGACAAACAGCCATAGGCTCCTAATGGCCAAGGATGCAGGTAGGAACAGAGCCTGTACCTAATTTTAACAACGCTGACGTAGTGACAGCGAAACTCGAGTGTGACACCGGAGATTTCTGGCTTATCTCCGCGTACATGCCACAAGATGATGTGGTGGAGCCACCTCTGAGGAGGACCTTAGCCGAAGCGTCTACGATTGGCACTGGCGTCATCATCGGTTCCGACGCTAACTCGGGACATTTAGTCTGGAGTAGCTCGGATACCAATRATAGAGGTGAGTCGCTTTTTGGTTTTATTATTAGCGAAARTCTTCGCATCTGTAAGATAGGAAACTCTCCTACCTTTGTGACCGCAGGTAGGGAGGAGGTTCTCGACCTCATCCTAACCTCACAAGGGATTGGCCCGCTGATGTCGAACTGGAGGGTCCTCGACGATCACTCCTATTGAGTTTAGTCTAGTTGGAGAAGGTCCGCCTTGGAAATCTTTCAGAAGGTTGCCGCAGGATTCTTCGGCAAACTCTCCCTCGCGCACCGGGGGTGGGCTCGTTGGCCTCTACCGATGCAGTGGAGCCCTCAGCAGTGAAGAAACACTTCAGATGCTTCTCGATGCTCACTTCCCGAGCAACATGTCCTCTATGAAGGGAACTCTCGGGGTGCCGCATGACGATTGTGCGGCCTTTGTCGGCATTTTAGATGAGCGACATTTGACGTGGACGATTAATTCGTTCAAACCATTCAAGTCCCCGGGACCGGACCGCATCATGACAGACCAGCGGCAATAGGCTGTTGAGGTGTCATGAAGCTGGTTGGCACCTATCTATGCGAACTGCATCAGATTAGGTTACATCCCGGGGGCCTGGAGACAAGTCAAGGTTACGTTCATTTCGAAGGCTGACAGGGGCTCCCATATCACGGAAAAATATTTCAGGCTAATCAGCCTCTCTTCATTCCTGCTAAAGACTCTGGTAGTCCAGTCATTTAAGCTTAAATTAGGTAAGAATCTCGGAATTCGAGATACCCAGCTGTAGGTCTGTAAATATTGTATATTGGCACCCTAAAAATTGTCTCAAAACCTTCATATGGTAGGGTGTATCTACTTTAGGATGTCAATATACAATATCGAATTCGAATTCCGAGGTGAACTTACTATAATGACTGGACTATGGAGAGACGGATGGACTGGTATATATATGGGAGCACAACATGCTAAACGTAAAGGCAGGTCAGTGGATACTGCCCTGCATACTATCGTGTCGCTGTTGGGACCTTCCTTGATAGTCTTGAGCTTTCAACAATGTCATGCCTGAGGCAGTAGTAACTGCCCTTGACGGTCTTGGGGTTGAATCGAACATCAAGCACCTCTTTCCCAGTCTTCTGTGCGACAGAGTGATCGAAACAGAATAAGACAGCGCGCGTGTGAGGCGAAGTTTGAGTAGGGGAACACCGCGAGGTGGGGTTCTCTCTCCTCTTCTATGGATCCTAGCCGTTGACGAATTGCTCAAAAAACTAGAGGATCGCGTCTGTCGGGTGACGGCCTATGCAGACGATGTAGCACTTAAGGTCAAAGGAAAGTTCCTTGGCACCGTGTACGAGTTGACGCAGGAATATTTCAGCGTAGTACATAATGGGTGGTCGGAAGTGGACTCGCCATTAATCCAAACAAAATGAAATGGTTTTATTCAGCAGAAAATATAAAATCCCGGTGGCAACGTTGCCGCAGATGGGAGGTATTCTCCTGCAACCGGCGGATACAGTGAAAATATTTAGGGCTCAGAGAGAGCAAAAAAGGCATCTATTGCCTTATACTGCTGTAGAGGAGCTCTTGGCAAAAGATGCGGCCTTTCACCGAAAGTGGTCTTCTGGCTCTATGACACCATAGTCAAGCCCATCTTGTTCTATGGTGTCTTCATAGKGAAGATAACACTTGCCAAGAAACTCGAAAGCGTTCAACGGGCTGCACTGATTAGCATATGCGTTGCATTAAGATCCACCTCAACCATGGCACTTAATGCAGTTTTGAACATAACGCCAGTGGATATTGCCGGTAGGTGCATTGCCGCGAAGGGGGCTATCAGACTCAGAGAATCTGGATTCCTAAAGGAACGCGTATCTGGACATTGGGATATCCTCCCAAACTTTGACTGCATACCGGATCATCTGGACCATGGAGACGCCATACCGAACTCTGTCGGTTCCTTCTCTGCTCATATACCGACGAGGGAGATATTGGTGGGAAGACGGCATTGGACGAGAGGGACAGCAAGCTTCTTCACGGATGGATCAAAGCTGGGGGAAGGTTGGTGGAGGGGTCTGCTGTCAGGAGCTCTCTATCAACTCCGGTTTCAGACTTCCCGACTATTGTAGTGTATTCCAGGCTGAGGTCGCAGCCATCAAGGTAGCAGCAGATTTGCTGTCCTATTGGCTTACATGCAGTAAGAATAGGTATCTATCATCCGGTAGATGCCGACTGTAGAAGCTGTTTGGTAGAAGATGCGGTAGAAACAAGCCAGCACTTCCTGCTTGACTGTCCCGTTTTGGGAGGTCAAGACTTACGACACTTGGGGGCGCATGCCTTTGGACATCCCACCGAACTGGCGGGTGTTGAGGTTAAGCGTCTGTGTAAATATGTATTGGCTACAAAGCGCTTCGCCAATCTGTAATTCCGAACACAGAAGTTATTTTTCAATGGCATCACAAAGGGCTACATTATTAGTCTACGTGACACTTTTGATCAGCAATCTAACCTAACCTAACCACTAAACTTTTAGAGACTCTGCCAATCGATGCCGTATCCCATCAGAACTATCACGCAATTTTTCAAACAGAGTTGAATATGCAGATGAAAGTTTTCGACGTAAGTGACCATGCGTAAAAATACTCGAGGAATTTAAAGACCTGACAAAAATGAATCTCGATCGAATAATAGTAAAAAACCGAGTTATGGTAAGTGATGTAATTTAAACTCAAGGTCAACCCGTTAAAACTCGTCCTCGAAAGCTCGACTACAAAAAAACTTAAAACCGCATGTATTGAATTCGAATATCTTGTGCAAAGTCAAGCTTTTTTTTACAAAACCTAATAACCGGAAGCAAACGCAACAATAAAACTCGTATCGAATGGACAGATGATGCAATCAACGGTTTTGAAGATTGTAAACGAAATATGACCAATGCTGCAACCTTGATGGGCTGAACCCATAGAGAGCGACAAAATTCATGCGACATCTCCCAATATTAAAATACACACCTTCTTAGATATTTAGACAGCTGCACGACTACAAGGCAGCAGGCTCTCAGTTGTCACTCTCGCTAATTTAAAAATATTTTTAAATTTGCCGACGACAGCAGAGTGATAAAGAGGTAGGAGAGGATGCCACTAATATGTAAAATGTAAAATTATTCAAAGCTTTAACAAACTTGACGTTATTTTACAAAGAGAAGCATACAATTGCCCTGTTATATAATTTGTAATAACAGTTGATAATTTGAAACAAATAAAATTACCTATTTATTGCATAAAACATTTCACTTTGAATTTCATTCAAGTGAAACTTGCCATACTACCACGAAATTGTGTACATACAAAATGGAAAGCTGTGTTGATTTGTGTACATATCGGACATGGTTATGTCGCTGCCTTCTTACAAATGTTCATGTAGCAGGCATCACGAACGCTCAACTCCGTGTCACAATTGACATTTTTCCGATTTCATATTGGGCAAGATAAACGATAACGATTTTCAATTTAAATCAAAGGCTCGCTTACATTTATTAAAATGTAAGTATTTAATAAAACAAAGGAAATATAAACAAAATACCTATGTATGTGAAAATTTTTCTTTGAATTTTAAGGGGAAAACACAAACATTCAAAACAAGAACTAATTTAATGTATTTTAAGAAAACGCATGAAGATTTATCAAGCAATTTCTCAAGAGGCGATAGAGTGGGTGTTGAGAAGATGAGGAAGGAGCTAGCCACATTGCTGAAAGCTGAAGGGCCACCACAGAAGGACTTTAACGGATGGTAAAAAGTAAGTTGTATTTGATTGAATATTAATATGAATGAATTATGGGCAGTAATTTTTTATTTAATTTTTTTATATATGGTCTGAATAGAAAAGAAGCATTCGCAATAAGGTTGCGCGTAACAATTTGAAGCAACAGGTAGTGGATCATCAAAAAGCAATTTTTGTGCCCGTTGCGAGCATTCAAGATTCCTGAAGATTTGGAACAGAAAAAACCTTCAACGCTAATGAACCGGAGGAATAAGGTCCACAGACAGTGCCATCAATGCATCCTATCACTCCTGGTATTCCAAATTTTGATACATAATGAAGTTTTGCTTTTCTGGAATCCACTTCTAACATTTGAAGCTTAACCCGCTTCCGGTTTCTAAAACATTAATCATTTCGAGCAACACTGCCAAAGTAACACGTTCTGTCGATAATGGTTGTGCATCATTAACGTAACAGACGCTTCATAAACATTTTAAATATGTGATAAAATGGGAAGTGTTCGAGTTGCTTAATAATTACCGCAGTACTGCAACCTTGTTGCTAACTTGATACTTGYTGCTGATGCTCAGCTGATACTTTGCTGTAATGCTGCAATCATTATTTCGCGCAGGACGTGTTGCTCACAAATATGGAAATTTTAACATATATAATTGCTGACTAAATGTTGGAAAATGGATGTGACAATTTTATGAGAAACACTATGAAAATAAGATGTAGATGAAATCGTTTCTTGTCTAAAGAATCCTACAAAAAAATAAAAGTGATAAAAGTAAAAGAATTTTCAAAAGTATTGAATTATACCCTGATGACATTAAAATATAATATTATATCAAACATAAAATTAATACTTACAGCCCTATGCAAATATCACCACCCCCACTATTGTGAGGTTTTCCGTATGCTGACGTGATTTCAAAAGCTCAAGTGCTCACAGATTTGTGATATGTGAAAGCAAACCTCAATATAAAATCGTATGCGATAGTTTTGATAATTTCAATATTTTTAAAGAAATTTGCAATTATATTATTATAAATACAATTATTTATCTATTACAATAAACAACTTACGGTGTTGTATATTTTAATTCTTTCTAATTATGAATATAAAGACATATACATATTTATGTTTAAATAATTCAGACAAATTATTATTTCGTAAATATGTATGTCTGTATTAATTACATGTGCGGATAATAAGATATTTATACTGAAACAATTAATTCTCCTGAGTTGTTCTTTCACAATACTAAAACAAAATGAAATTATTAAATACATATGTACCAAATTTAATAGATTTGCAGAATTACTCACTTTTCTTTATTGTCTTCTTTGTTTTTGTAAAATAGCTGGTTTACAGCAAAGTGCTTTTCACCTCATGTGGTGAGTGCAGAGAACGTATATTTATAGAGAAGGTCCAAAAACGGACAGGCGTGTAAACTGTCAAAAGCTAACAAAATGCGATGAGTGGTTTCACCACAGCTAGCTAAGGAGAAACTTTAACAGTGGCGCGTGAACAGGGCCAGAGAACGTAAAGTATAGAGAAGGTGCAAATCGAAATCTGTATGATGTTCGATTGCGCGGCTAACAGAGCTGATAGATTTATAGTAGGGAATTCACCATTAACGCTGCTATTTAGCAGAATTGAGCACGTTCTCTGGCAAAAATATATGTAAAACGACTGAATTCAACTTAAATGTGCTCATATAAACACTTCCATTCAATCCTTTCATTTATTAAAAAAAATTAATGACCTTCATGAAATATATTTCCATATTCGTAGCAATAGAATTTCWATGGYWTATACATATATACATACATATATTATTTCTTTTGCACATTTGTCTGTATGTTTGCGAAAACAAATACGAGCCACATATGTACAAACAACCAATAATGGCMGCGCGGATCTTTTGACATCTATGTTGTCACGGGCAACCAAGGCCAAAGCGCACGACAAGTGTCTTGCTGGTAGAAAATCGGAGTTGTGACGAAAAAATAAAGTAATGGCCGCCGATTGTCACCTCTTCCCTTGCTGCTGTAACAGCTTCGCCTACAAACGTGCGTAAATATGTATGTATGTATACGTATGAGCGTGAATACATATCGACGCAGATTTTTGCGAGAAGCATCAAAAGTTGTTCAATTTATGATTTTTAGCTTTTGCCATCGTCGCGAAAATACGCTTGTWGGCAAARGCATGCTCGGGGAGATGTTACGGCGTCTGTTTTTATGAATGAAGCTAGATCGCTTGTAGAATTTGCGCCTGCGTTTATGAATGAAATATTCATATGTTAACGCATATGTATGTTTGTATGCTTGTGCATTATTTGTTCGGCAATGTATACAAATATAATTTCTGAACGCGCCCATGCGTATACATATGTACATTCATATGATGCCGACGGCAAAACGAATTTCTTGATATTCGTACATTGCGTATGAAAGCATGTGCCTGGTT